ATGAGTGATGAAATCATTCAGAACATATTTTAGAGATTTGTGTTTTCTCTTTGAGAAAAGCATTTTTGAGAGTTAAATCTGCAACGTAAAATGTAGCAAATTTAATTTTCTAAATTCTGTGTGCTGGAATCAGATTTTCAGAAATCGTTCTTCTGGATAAAAAACAGTAAATACTGTTTTTCATCCTAAAGATCGATTTGTACACAGTTGAATACAGCAGATAAAATTTAGGAAATCAAATTTGTCATATTTTAGTCTCTAAACTCACCTTTGGAAAATTCTTCCTTCATGGTGAAAAATCACTTCAAATAACTTATACTTCTCGAGAATTAAAACTCATTTACAAACAACTCAAAAATCAAAAAAGCTTTAAAAGAATAACATTTAATTTAAAATGCTCGGCTCCGGAGAATAAACCACTTTTCCCACACAGCTTTTACACAAAGTTTGCCTGGCAACGGAAATTGCTCCTAGTTGCCACTCCCGGGAGTACCAATAGCTTCTTGTTGACGCTCCCGAGAGTGCCAATAGCCATTCCGATAAAACTTTCAGATGCATGAATGTGAAAGTAGTGAAAGAAAAGAGAATAGCATTACTCGTCTTGTTTCGTTTCGTAACCAAACCTTAGCCATGTATAGAAAGAAAAGACGTTTACATCTTAAGATTCTCGTTAGGCACATATTCCATCTTCCTATTTTTTAAGCTACCCGGTTAACTGGGCACTGCAACCACCCCCTTTACCTGTAGATTACTTGATAATCTCCCCGTATCTAATGCATTTCATGTCTGGAACCAGCTGAACCAGTCGGTTATTTGCCCGATTGGAGCCATATCGATCGGTCGGCTGCCCTACCTTATAACCTCCCTTTTTTTAATCTATTTGATACAGGAAACTAGCTTAATCGGTCGGTTAAGTGCGCGGTTGGAGCTAGATCAGTTAGAGCTAGCTCGATCGGTCGCTGAAGCCATGTATAGAAAGAAACGACGTTTATATGTTACGATTCTCGTTAGGCACATATTCCTTCTTCTTATTTTTAAGCTACCCGGTTAACTGGGCACCGCAACCACCCCTTTTACCGGTAGATTACCGGATAACGTCCCCGTATCTAATGCATTTCATGTCTGGAACCAGCTGCACCAGTCGGTTATTTGCCCCGTCGGAGCCATATCGATCGGTCGGTTTAGCTAGCTTATATTCTCCCTGGTTTTAATCTATTTAATACCAGAAACTAGCTAAATCGGTCTGTTAGGTGGGCGGTTGGAGCTAGATCAGATAGAGCTAGCTCGATCGCTCGGTTAAGCGGTCGGTTAAGCTAACTTACAATCTCCCTGTGTTTAATCTAGTTCATACCAGAAACTAGCTTAATCGGTTCTATACCTTGTAATGTGGACAGAAACAAAGCTGGTGTTGTTAGTGTTGATAATTTACCATATAATTGTTGATGATATACTGGTAAGAGTCCTTTAATTAAGGCTGATGCTAACGTATTATCTGGTATATTGGGTGATGCCATATTGGCTAAGTTTATCTNCCTCCCGTTCCTACTCGATTATGCTAACCTACTGCTCGGTTCACCACTAGGTTGGGTGATGCCATATTGGCTAAGTTTATCTTTTCAATATAATAACTTGTAACTGATTCATTGTGCTGCTGTTGTCGTGCTTCATAATCATTAATTCTGATAAATGATAATTTTAGTGTGATAGTTGATGGATGTTTAGCTATCATTGCTTGTTTAAAATCAGCCCATGACGCCATATTAGCCTTATTCTCTTCATGCCATGTTAATGCATCATCTTCTAGACGTAATGATATCTTCTTACGTCTATCAGGATCACTAATACCATCAAAACATGAAAATCTTGATTCAACCATTTCTAACTATTTAATAGCATTATCATTTTGTCCACCTTTAAATTTCATTTAAAGCACGGTCCATTGTTATATAATCTTGTTGTATTGGTATTTTAACTTTTGGTCTGTTTCGTTGTGGTAAAGGTTGTTGTACGGGTTGTTGTCCTGTTGTTTGTGTGTGCGATCTCAGTTGCATACACACTCAGATACACCAGTGTCAAATATTGATTGGTACCCAGATACCGGTAATGAACAGAATTGCGACTGCTGTAGGAAAAACTCACGTCCTTTTTTACAGGAACGACCGTGCCAACCGGTAGCCCGCTCTCCCGTACAGACAGATCCACAGGGAGTTTTTCCAAATAATTTTTTTTAAATAGCACTAAATCTGGACGACGACAATTAGTTAATTAATTAATTAATTTGATACCATTATCGATACATGCCATTAAATGTAGACGATGAGGAAGTAGAGAATTAACCGCTCAAAATTTACTTACTATAACCAACTGTATGATGTTTTTCTTTTGTTTCTTACACCAGCTATGATTAATAGCCAGATTGAGCCGGATAAACACCACTTGTTAATCTGTATTTCTGCCTAACTCTTATACTAATAAACTATCTAAATTATTCTCAAAGCTGATTGTTCTTCAATTGGTTTGACAGTAACAGCCAAACTGACCCGGATTAAGGCACCAGTTGTTAGGTAGTTGGGTTATATTAAACTATCTTGTGGTCTTGTATGTGCACAATAATATGCTTTTAAATAATATGTTTATTTTGACAATACCATTTGATACAGAGTTGTTAACTCCCATACAAAAGACCACTCTTAGTGAGAGAAACACGACTATTCATAGGCTAAGGAGAAAGATAGGAGTGGTCGATTAAGAAGAACCAATAAAACTACATATATAAATACACGTACAAAGAATAAAGAGCTACGACCAAGAAAAACACGCAGTTTGTGGTCGATTAAGAAAGACCATTAATAGACTATGTCACGTTTATGCATAAAAGAAAATAAAAGATAACGTGACTCGTATCGTGTATGACATGTGACTAGCTATCTAGCAAGATCTCACTTTGACAATTGGAATATTTTTGATAGGAACACACTGTAGCGACAAAATTTCCGAAATAGCACCGAACACTGCTAAAAATCTTTTAAATGTGAGTTTTTAAGCAAGTAAGGTGAATGGAGTCATTCACAGACCCTTTTGTCTGACGGTTCAGCCAGTTTTCTTTCGCATGAGAACCAAAAAGCTTTACACAAAATCTCTCTGGAACTCGAAAAAGTTTACGCACATTAAGCCTGAGACTTGAAAAATTCATCTGTAGTTCGCATCAGACGTCCACTTAAGATTTAAAAAGATTTACGCAGAATACAAGTAAGACGCGAACAACTCATCAGTAGTCTGCATGACTATCGAATAACTAATAATACACTGCTGGCTTTTCGGATTCGCAGGCCTGTTCTACGTGAGAGTCAACAGACTCATCAGTACACCGTTTGAGAGTACAATGAGTGTATGCCAAGAGGGGAAAAGTAGAATGGGTCATTCCGTACCATTTCAAAAACGCTTTTTCCTCCTTGACACAAACACATTGTTTCTCAAAATACACAATAGATAGTATATAAAAATCACTACTTTGTCGAAAAGGAATTTGCTGAGCTAAGTAAAACAAAGCTTTTCAGATTTCAGATTTCTAATTCCGAATGGAGGCGGTGCACCAAGACCAGGCCCTTTACCAGGCATCAAGGAGGTATATCCCTTCTTCGTTTCTCATTCATTGATCTATACGTGTTTCAAAAAAAAATTATTGGTTTAGACGTAGACGTAGATGTCTACCATTATTGGCTGTGTGCTGTTGCGGCCTGCTCGGTTTAACATTAGCAGGCGTAATCGTGATTGCCCTCATTCCCTTGTATTTGTCAAGACATGATATTAATGGCAGCCAACGTAAGGTTATCTCATAGCTATCAGTAAGTGAGAGAAAATTCTATTTTGTTTTTAGGAGAAAGTGGTATTATTCAAATAATTTACAATCTGCCCTCATCCGATAGCGTGGTTATTAGTGGGCAAGTACCACAATCAAGATATGAAATGTTGCAAAATATGGTAGGCAATAGATTTATAAAGTTAGAGTATAATAACATCTTTCTTCTTTTAGCTGCAACAACAGTTGGATAATGCAACACGCGGCAGTCGAGCACAGCAAACACAAGTTGAAGTGGTCAACGTAGTTGTAAGACAACCACAAAGCATCGGAAACAAGGTGAGCGAGTCTTATAGGTATCCTATATTATTTTGTGAGTAGATTTTCAATTAAAATTATTGTTTTTAGAGCTTTATGTCTAAAAGATTATTTTTTATTTGCAGATATCTTATTGTGAAATCCTATACTTACGCCTATGCTCTCTATATTACAATTTATCCGTAACGCTATATCTATCTCACTTGATGATCTTTATGTTTTTGTAATGAACTAAGAGTAATTATCACCGTCAGTTCTCATAAGTACTAACCGAAGCAAAGAAAAACCGAATCGCTCGTTTTTTTCCAGTTGCAGAGGTCTTAGTCGAGAATACACTTTTTACGTTTTAGCATCGTATGAGAAACAATCATTTCCTTTAAAAAGCTTTGCCATCAGAGACTAACGCCGTATTCATACCAAGAGTCGAAAACTGCATCCAGTGATGTGTCACTCGAACTTTAGGAAAAGCTCTGCTTTCGTCTAAAAAAATGCCTTTCGTCCCCTCTCATGTGTTTAGTGAGTAAAACGCCTGTAGCTTCTATTTTACAAGGGGGAAAAAGCACCACTTCAACTCCCCGAGTCCCTGCGAACTTAAAAATCCCAAATTTCTCTTTTCATACCCCTATACAGTAACTACTTGACTTCATGGTGACGCGAAGATATCCAAAAAATGTTTGTGCTCCTTGTGCAGACAGGACATTTCGAAAATAGGCCTGAAATCCAAAAACGATGACCAATCATTGACTATGTGGCACACATGGCGATACATATGACTGGAGCTATCGGTAGTCAGGGCATCAACTTAAATAATAACGCTAACCGGACCTTGTCTAGTTTTGAAAACTTCATAGCTCAGTAACTATATATTATGTTTTCAATCGCCAAATGTCATGGTGCTCAGAAATGTTAGAATAAAAATAATTAACAGAGAAACATAAAATTTGAAACAGAGAAATTCATACAAATTCATAGTTTTTATTCGTGTTTTTAAGCACCATTACTTTGGCTTCACTTTTAACGTAGAGCCTAAAGATGGACATTGTTTCCTTCGCTTTTTTCCATTCTTTTGCATTTATCTTGATAAGATACGCTTTTTCGTACATTGTATTTTGAAACGGATAGTAGTTTGAACCGTCTGATTAGCTCATAAAAGGACCAACTTGTGATTGGTACGAACACTTAAAAGACAATACCTACATAAGGACCACCTCTTATTTGTGAAAGAACATGTCGAGGTGTACTATGAGAGAATTCTTGTCGTACATCCTGAACTGAATGGTAGGAGCCAAAAATGGAAAATGAACGTTTAAAACTTTTCTTTATATTTAGTGCTGTCAGTGTGCGATGAAAACTTATTTTTATCTTATATAAAAATGAAGCTCGCTCTATGCTGATTAGAATAACGAAGAAACCATCTCCGTATGCCTTTTCGTTTTTAAATGAGAGCCATTAAGTGAAGTCTTTTCTCAATTCATATGTAAACCAAGACGGATCAAAGTTTTTTCTGACATTATAGTGCATACCTAGAACCTTAAGAAATAATGGGCACGCTTTTGTTATTTCTTCCTTCATGACTTTTCTCGGTCTTAAAGTTGGGAAATATTCACTTATATTTTCGGTTTTTCAGTGTTTTCTTGTCTGATTTGGTATATGAAGTATGCGAATTAATTACTGTTGATGATCTGATTTATTTAATACTGGTTTATTCAATAAACAACTTGACGTTTAAGACAGGAGAAAAGTTCAAGCTACCAAGTATGGCAGTTTGTGACAGGTTGAAACAAAAATGACATTTAACATAAACGAAAGGTGGCGGCCTGAGGCTAGATAATTTTTACATCGATACTTTATAACTTTTTGTTTTGATTTCGAGAACGGTTTTGATTTTCTATTGAGATTATTTTAAATCTAAGTATAGTATATTTTATCTCGGAAATTTCGGTGGTGTTTGAGACAGCTTACACGTCTGAAACAATTCGAAAGTTCATTTATTAAATATGATTAAAGCGCCGACATTTCGGTACAACGATAGCTGAAGTTCAAAGGCGCCGCTGCGGGTGAGTGTGAGTATCGATGAAGATTAAACAAACAGTGATTACAGTTGGATATGAGTAATATAGACAAAGCTCTCACACTGTACGAAGTTTGTTTAACGAAAATTTTATCGTTATACATAATACTGTAACAAATGCACTCTTACTGAATGCTTTTGTCGTACATGCGCCCAAGTGTCGTTGCACCCAAATGTCGGCGACTAAACGTCTGGTATTCCACTCAATTTTTAAGTTCAAGAAAGCTGTAGAAATAATAAAGAGCAGCTATCTTTAAATTCGTTATTCAATTTTTGTTGAAACGTGGAAGCTCGACGTTTCCTCACCCTGATTCAGAATGAGAATTGATTGAGAATTCACTCCTGATTGTCTAGGAAATAGTATTACTTTTTTGTGCATTTTTCAAACGTTTTTTCATGATTATTTCTGTGGCAATTATACGAGAAATTACGAATCAGGTATCTCAATGTTAAAACGTTTTGATAAACTTAGAAGTGATAGTACTAGAACACCATACATTTAGAAGAGTACTCGAGAAAAAGACTTAAACGATCCTTTTCAGATCGAAGTTATAAATGCTAGTAGGAATATATGTGTTTTATCAGTGAGCTAAGGTTTAACCAAAGATTACTTCTTCACGCACAAGAGATTAGGCAAAAAGTGCGAACATCATCGGTGTTTTGAGCGTATAACAGACACATTTCAGCATGAAAATCAAATTTCCAAAAATTTCAGCATTTATCGCTAACTTTAACTAAGCTCTTTTTTAGATAGAGGTTAAGGATTCGTAATATAGATCGTTCTTTCCATGCAATGGCTCTGAAGTCGTAGCCAGCTGTTTGCGAGACGCAATAGAAAATGTTACCAAATGACAAAATCAGGCTGGTAAGGGTTGAGCGAAGACCAAAAGGATATCAGGTGCCTATGTGGAGGAATGCGCCTTCTATACATCGCCACGATGTAGTCATCTACAAAAATTTGACTTTTATCGAATCCTTTGCAGTATGAAAGTCGCAGTTTCTTTTGTGTCTGAATAGAAGAAAGTCTAACGAATCTAACATTATTTGTTGCAGTTCTATTTAAAGAACGGAAAAAAAATTCTCGTGGTCAAAATCAAATCAAATCAAAGATCAAATTCTGTTTTCATGCCTCTCCTCATTCCCTACTCAAACTAACAAATAGAGGTATTAACCCTTTGGCTTCCGGTGACGTATAAATACGTCTAGTTGCATTTATTGCATGATCATAATAGCTAGAATAAATTTGAAAAAAGATTTGAATAGCTGGAAGAATTTCCGAT